ACATAAACTTGAATTGTGGGTTTCGAAGTATTTGTTGAACGGTAATTTATAAAATATTACAATATACTAATCGTTAGTATGTTCACTGTTTGAACGTAGTGGATTATATTATTATACACGTATCACGTTAAGTCGCGTTGTAAACACCGGCTGGCGACAGCACTAGGTTAGTGGGTCAACGGTGTTTACAGAAGTAGAACACAACGGCGGCGGCGGCATGACTCGGGGTATGAGTGGGGACTGCCTGGCGGCGGCACCACAAGCCGTGAATATAATGATAATATAAACTATTACTAACCGCTGTTAATGATTTTCTTGATTTTTGATTGAAGTTTGACCGATGTTTTTGATATTTGATTGATAGATTGTCTGGATTTTCTTGATGTTCCTGGTTTAATGGATTTTCTTGATTTGCTGGATTTTCTGGATGATGAGTCCGACTACCGTTCAAGTACTTAAAAAAAAATATTATTAAGATTACTTTTTCGGCACCGGAATCCTCGGATCCCACCGCTGCCACCAAAAATGTTACGAGAGTAACAAAAATAAAAATGTACCTTTAATAATCTTAATATAATTTATTTAAAATAGTACGACTTCAAAATGAACAAGTTCGTACATAGGTAACGGTTGTCAAAAGGCTGACGATGCTCTGATGTGTTAGGGTCGTGGACGGCTTCCGGTGTTGCTTAACCGAAAAATAAAACAATAGCACATTCCTTTAGGCCGTCCGCGCCTTACACACAATATATGATGCTCTGTTATTACAATTGCGAAATATCAATATAATGTAATACTACTCTAATCAACACTAAATATTTCAGGGGTTCATAACAGTATGCTTCAGCTTTATCTTGTTCACTGCACGCCCAAGTGCCATCTTCCTTTCGGATGGGTGGTACATGATGCGAGGTTTTTTTAATCGTCTTGTGGCTTTCCATAACGAGTAATCGGAATCGGCTGTTACAGATAAGCCACACAAATACGATTTAAATGTTTCATTTTTCACTTATTTGATTTTATCATGTAGCAATTTGCTGACTCGGTTTTATCGGTTTTAGTTCTGTGCCAAATTCGTCTTGCTCGCAGCTTTTGTTGAACAAGCTCTTTGATTTCTTACAGAAATCAAATCTTTCTTACAGAAAGAGTGATAGCTTCTTCCAGAGTATTTCTAAAAAGTCTGTGTATTTGTGTGTTAGAAAATGTTTTTGTTTTTCATAATAACATTTGAGCTTAACGATAATAACACAGGAATGTGGTCGGACGTTAGCTCTATTAGTCTTTCAGCTTCAACATAATAATTAGAGGAGATGCCTTTAATTACAAAGAAGTCAAGCAGGTCAGGAAATTTCTTAGCATCGGTTGGCCAGTAGGTTGGCTCTCTGGTAGAAAATATTTCCGCGTTTATAGCGTTAGTTCCTTTTAGTAGAGCACGTCGTTTCGGAGTGATCAGTCTTGATCCCAGTGAGAGTGTTTGGCGTTGTAGTCACCACCAGAAATGAACCTGTCTCTTAGCGTTCGGAAAAATGCAGTAAATTAAATTTCATCTGCACCTCCTTGCGGTGGACAATAAATAGCCGTAACCGTGAGGTTATTATTTCCATATTTAACACAAACAGTTATGGATTGTATGTAGAGTTCTTAGTATTCTGCAAGCTCGGAATACTGTATAGTATCTCTTATGATTACAGCTGTACCTCTACGTGCTCTACCACCCGGGTGTAAAGTTGTATAGATTTGATAATTTTGTATTTTTAGAACAGTTCATGATGTGAAGTGTACTCAGATAATAATAATAATAATATATATTTAACGCCCCGAAGGCAAGAGTGTAACATTCAAGTAAGTAGATCACAGATTAATAATTATAAATTATAAACAGTATCAATAAAGAAAAACATATTTATAACAACGATAACAAACAAAATATATAAATATGACAAAAATTGGACGATTAGGTATAAATGAGCCTAAATCAGTTGTGGGTAAGAGCCAATTTTAATTCAAGAAGGGAGTTATGAAAGACATCAAAAGAGGGAGGTAAGTTATTAAAGGTAATACAAATGCGGTTAATAGGAGTGAAAAAACTATAATTTTGGCGGTGGAAACTAACATGAAAAGTTGGACGTAGGCGAGAGTTGTAGGAAGGAATATGGAATAACAATTTACTTAGGAGTTCAGGACTATCGATAACATTATTAAGCAACTTGTGTATAAAAATTTAAAAATAAAATCATTTATCTTACGTCTATATGCGAGCATATCGAGATTTAATAAATGCAGAACTGAATTTCTATGTTCAGTTTGCATATTAAATTTAAAGCTTACTGTTCGCAAAAAAACAGTCTTGGACACGTTTTAAGTCATTAGTAAGTCCGCTTTGGACTGGATTCCACAATATGGAGGCATATTCTAAAATTGTACGAACTAAACAAATATACAGGGTTCTAATGCACATTAAATTTGAAAAATTATAACAATTTCTCCTAATGAAACCTAATGTTTTTAATGCTTTTAGTTTTATATTTTGAATATGCTGATGAAATGATAAATCATAGGAAAAATAAACACCAAGGTCTTTCAGCTGTTTAACATTTTGTAAAACTCGATTATTAATTAAGTATTGGGCTGAAGTAGGGTTACGGCAACGGGAAAATTATATTTTCATACATTTTTCCGCATTTATTGAAAGACCATTGTTCAAACACCATTTTTCAAATTTATTTAAGTCGTCTTGGAGTTTAGAACAGTCAGCCTCAGATGTAATTTCCATGTACATTTTTAGGTCATCGGCAAACATTAGACATTTACAATGATTAAAAATATTCGGGATTTCATTAACAAACAATAAGAATAAAATGGGTGATAAATGACCCCCTTGAGGTACGCCTGAGCTAACATTAATTACGTGGGATACCTTTGAAGCTAATTTTACTTGCTGAGTTCGATCTGTTAAATATGATTTTAACCAGGATAAATAAGGGTCCCTGATACCTAAAACACTCAATTTAGTTATTAACAAATTATGATTCACAGAGTCAAACGCTTTCCTCAAATCAGTGTATATACTGTCAACTTGGCCACCTTTCTCAACAATTGAACTTAAATCAGAATAATATACTAGTAAATTAGTTAAGGTAGATTTACCAGGCATAAACCCATGTTGCTGACTAGAAATAATATGATTAACCTTAACAGAAAGCTTAGAGTATAATATTTTTTCAAAAAGTTTAGGTAATGCACTCAATTTAGAAATGGGCCTGTAATTAACAATATTGGCCTCGTCGCCCGATTTAAAAATTGGTGTAAGGTAGCTAACTTTCCAACATGAAGGAAAAATACCAGACTTCAGTGATAAATTGAATATGTAGTGTACTGGTATTGTTAACACATAAACGCAATTTTTTAAAACTATTGTTGGAATCTTATCAGGGCCAGGGACAAAGTCATTTTTTAAAGACATAATGCCCTCAAAAACTTCAGTTAAAGATATATCGAAATTAGATATGTCTAGTAAATCTTGGTTTGGTAAATTACGTAAGTCAACACTAGTGACAGGCATTGTATTGTTTGAGTAAACCGTAGAAAAGTAATTGGCAAATAAGATAGAAGCATCTTGGGTGTTATCAGCAATAGTGTTTCCATAACGCACTGTGCCAGGCAACACATTTAGATTTTTCCTATCATTAACAAATTTCCAGAAGGAACGAGGATTGGTAATTAGATTATTTTGGATTTTTAGTAAATAATTATCATAACATTGCTTGGAGAGTATTTTGCACCTACGATGGACATTTACAAATTGATTTAGGATTAAAGGATTACCTGATTGTTTAAAGTGTTTATGTAACTTTTTCTTATAGCGAATCATATTTCTTAATTCAGAAGTGAACCAAGGGGGGAAAGCATTTACTCCTTGATAGGAAGTAAATTTGGGAATGAACAAATCCATGGCAGTTAAGACAGTGTCATTAAAAATAGTTGTGGCTGTATTTACGTCCTTACCATTGAAAATGTAAAGCCAATTCACCATTGCCAAATGAGAACAAAGAGCTGGAAAGTCAGCGCTTTTGAAATTATATTTACATACAGTTAAATTCATAGCCCTAAGTTTAGGATCAAAATTATAACTAATATTTAACGGTGGGTGGTAGTTATCAATAGGTAATAACGCATCTGAACTTTGAATGACAACAATGTTATTTAAGTTTGAAAACACTAAATCTAAGGTAGAATCGGTTTTATTATGTATCGAGTTAAATTGACGAAAGTTTAAGCGCGCAAAGTTTTCAATAATCACTAGCGATTGCGGTGACAACGGCCCGTCCACTGACAGACCAAACGAGTCATTACTGATGTGAACGTTTGGTAAATTATAGTCTCCGATAAGCAATATGTTAGCATTATCACCACGATCAGATAAAATCCACTCTACCGTTTGAACATGAGATAAGTACATGTCTACCACGCACAAAGGAGGTAAATAAACAGAACCGATAATAAGTTTAGTGTTGTAAGAATTTACCGATATAAATAGTTGTTCGACATTATTGAACGGAATAGATATTAATTCAGCAATATACTTTTTACTTACACAAATCATAACTCCACCACCTCTATTATGAGAACTAGTATTAATATTTCTATCAAGCCTAAATATATTATAATTATAAAGGTCTAGCTCGTCATTTGAGATCTCATTATTTAACCAGGTTTCTGTAAAAACGAGGTAATCATAGTCATAGCAAGGAACATTACATCTAAGTGAATTAAGTTTAGTTCTCAGACCTCTAACATTTTGGTAATAACCCACAAAAGATTTAGACAGAATTATAATTTACAAAAGAATTATATTTATTTATTAAAGGAGCGTTGGGGCGGCTAATTAGTTTTTTTTTTGATAGTTGAGGGCAACCGTTCACGTATTTAATAAACCATCCTTGTTCACCAGTAGACTTTTTGGAGTTGATAATCGACTTCATTTCGAATAACACAGACCGTTAGTATTGAGTCATATCCGTTGAAATTCCAACATGTTTCCATTGAGCGGAATTATTGAGTTTAGACTTACATTTCAAAACAGAATGTACATCTTGGGTACTGGACAATTCAACCAAAATAGGTCTAGGCTTCGATCCGATTTTTCCGATTCGAATTATTTTAGAGATAGATACCGAAACTGACAAAATATGTAGTAAACTATTTATAGTCTGAGATAAATTATCCGGTGTTTCATTTACATTATCAGAAACATTGAAAAATAGTAAATTACGGTTTCTAGAGATTCTTTCCTCAGATTCTTTCACAATATCGACAGGTGCCAAGGATTGAAAACTGATTGGTTTAGATTCTAGATCCTTTATTTTTAGCTGAAGAGACTCAACATCGGCTTTTAATGTAATGTTTTCATTTTTTAATGCCAAAACCTCCGAAGATAAGTTGTCGATTTTTGATAACAATACCTCAAATTTGTCGTTATATTGCGAAAGCTCAGACTGTATGTTGGATAATTTAGAGTCGTGACCAATTTGCATATTTTTCAAGTATGCCATAATATCAGAGACAGAATATTCCGTTTTCTGCGGTAGCACAGGTTTTTTGACGGGTGTATCATTCCTATTAGGATTAGGCATAGCTGCAGTATGGAGAGGAAAATTTATGAGAAGATGTAATATAGTTTTAATTTAAACGAATTAATAATAAATTATTATAATCTAGGTAAAAATAGCGCACACAACAATCAACATAACGAATAATACTATCGATAACGAAGGTATGCGCGCGTGCCTCTTGAACGACGGTCACTGTTACAGATACAAGAGCAATGTCAATATTTTCAGTGTTTAAGAAGTTTTCAAGTTCTTGTTTACGCAGTACTAGCCCGTTGGCGTTTTACGCTATGATCCGCAATTGTCGGTTAATTTTTTTTTCTTTTGCTCGTTGTTCTTAGCTTTGGACTGGTTATTATTTTCTAACCTATCCAATCTAGAAGTAACATTGTCTTACGTTTTTGTTATATTAGTCACAGCGGATAATACCTTTATTAAGGAGGTATCATTATTTTTCTGCTGTTGATGTAAAGGCTTTTGTGTCGTCTTCTGTTGGGTACTAGAAAAACTAGCCGTTTGAGGATAGGTATTATTCGTGGTTACTTTGTAACTGATTTTTGCTGAATACAAGTACCGCTGTTCTGACACTGTACCGCAGTTGTCTTCTTTGGATGCACTCGTTCTTCAGCCTTTTTGGAATTGTAGAAAAGAATATTGAAATATAATTTGTATTAAATATTGTATAAAGCGTACATTGTTTTGTTTTTGTATATTCGTCTTTTGTATATTAAAATTTGAAAAAGTGACTCATTGTAGGTAGTTGTATGGGTCTTATTGAAAATACTGTATTTTAGCTGAATATGATTCAAATTGGTAAAATTGTATAAAATAATTACTTATATTAAACAAAATATGGGGATCGGGGTGATTTAAATAGAATAATTATTTTGTTTATGTAATATAAAATTGGGTAATTGTTAGGTTAATATTTTTGTTGCTGGTTTTGTCGAGATTAATGTGATCGATTTTAGTATCCTTGTTTCACGATTTCTTCTCAGTTTATTCTATCTACAGTTCTTAGTTACTCTCAAATGACAGTTTGACATTAGATGCAAGCAATTTTATAAAACAATTATGATAAATACTTGCAATATTTGTATATAACTTTGGAATATTTTAAATATTAGGCATTTTATTTTTTACCGAAATTGTTTATTACTAACGTATTGTTTGCTCCTTCTCACAGGTTTTTTGGAAACATGTATCGTTTTGTTTTTTTACAAATAACATTGCCTTTTGCGTCATACTTTAATATAATTGTTCCTATTATATTGTATGAATAAACTTGCTAAATAATTTATATTATGTTCATTTATATTTTTTTCTGTACATTTTTATATTGTGTATTGTAGTTTTCATCGTCTATCGTATAAGTGTGTTTCAGAATAACAAAAGTTAATTAAAACATTATGCAGAAATCTACTATTTTTATAATAGTTTTCATTATAATGGGTAATTCTTATTTGTATTTTTTGTTTACAATACATTCTTAGGTTCAATACTATAATTACTATAATTTTATGGCTTCTAAATTCTAATTAAATGACAAATTATGTTGAAAGGAGTTAACGCCATGGAGAAATTATTTTTATTTCAAAATTATGTAAACGAGTATGAATTTATATGGAAACCTTATTTTATTATTTTTATTTAGTCACACATGGTCGACCATATCCAAGTATGCTTATAAATTATATACTTCTATACATTTTACATGCAATTGTATACAAGTTTTCTATTTAACTTGTACATCTATTGTATAATATGACCGTGTAGTAATAATTAATATACACCTAAAAGTAGATAACAGTACCATTACAGATTGCATTCTTTATATACGTTGGTTTTTGGAGTATTTACACGGTAACAAAAGTAAACAAAATATTTGATAAAAAAAATGATTTATTTATTCTATAATGAAAAGCTACAGCCAGCAAAATATTAATACGTGTAATAAAGGATATCTAATCAACTATTATACTGCTATAAAAAATGATGTCATTTTTTTGATGTTAAATCGTAATTTTTTTTTTGTTGGTTAGGTAAAAAAAATTCGATGGAGTCACAAAAGGACCCGGGTAATTTCACGTGGTTTTATATTATTACAAGGGCCAAAACGTAAAATACGAATAAACTTATGGAGCACTCCTCCCCGGAATTTTTTGATACTTACTTTATGTGTCTGTTCCGACGAAAGGAATCAGTAAATCAATTTTTGTTCGTTTATTTTGAACCTTTTTATGTAATTAAATGATCATATTTTTAGTTTTTTCCTTTAACCTTTTTTTTAATCATTTTTTATAGTATTTTGAACAAAAAGAAAAATGTTAAAAATTAGTTTCTTTTGTAAAATAATTGATTTTTATTCGAGTTAAGTCAGCAAATTGAGTTTATAATTTTATACTTTTAGTAGGACCAAATTTTTAACAACACAGTCAAACTAAAAATAATAATAATATATTTATTATATTCTACCCATTGTTTTCGAAAAATATCAGGAATATTTGAAATATTGGAAAATGGTTTCATGCAACGCTAACCAAAATTGTTTATTGCTATTCAAATGTTTTATCCACTCACGTGTTTTTTTAGAGATATAACCGTTCTATTATTTCCCAAATAACATTGCCATTTGCGTCATACTTTAATAATACTGTTGCTGTATAGTTTGATAAACATTTGTTAAATAATGTATGTTATATATTTCTATATTTTTTTGACACATTTGCTTCTAATTTTAGTAATTGTACAAGTTTTTAAAATGACAAACTAAAAATTAGAATTATTTTAGAAAAAAGGGTTTTATCCATAATGAATTATCTGTATAATTTTCATTTGTTTGCAAAATATTTGATAAAATAATGATATATTTATAATGAAAAGGTGATCTCCCAAAAATACTAACACTAAAAGAAATGGCGGAGTTACAAAGGAAACAGGGTAATTATACGTTTTTTTATACAATGTAGAATAATGTGTGTATATCTAAAGAATTAAACTTAATTTCAAATATATGCATACAATATTTTGAAAATGTTTATATTTCTAAACAGAATATTCATTCATTCATTTTATATTTCTAAGCATCCATTGTTAGTCCTGACTACAATTATTGTCGCAATAATGGACAATTTGACTACCTTAAGTTTAGACGAGAAATATTAATAATTATCAAATTGCTTGTCACATATATTTCAAGATGTATTTGAAAATAAATGTAATTCATTAGAAGAATATATATTATTCTACATTGTGAAAACAGTATCATACAACAGATAATTAAAGGTTTTTTACAATCACTTAAAGTTTGCAAAACATTAATTTAATTTGCATTACATGTTGGTTTAGATAATAGACTGGTATATGTCCAAATAGGTACACCCTATATAGTGTAATAGAATAGAAATCATTCTTTATCTTTCTTCGAGTGCTATAATGTGTAAATACAAAAGCAATCCACAAAAATTAAAAATCTTTCTCAGAGACAGTCGAACGAAAAATAGTTTGTCATACATATCTTATAAACTATTTCATAATAGTATTAGTTAATTTGAATTCCACATATTTCTCTATATATATATATATGTATAGATATATATACATAGAGAAATAATAATATATTTTTAACAATATATTGTTAAAACTATATTTTCTAAAAAAAAAATTGAAATATGGAAATTTTAAAAAGCATATAGTTTACTTTTAGATATTTAAAAAGTAATATTTAAATTTTTTTTTAAACATTATAGAGATAAAAGTTATACAGTATACTAAACCAGAAAGGTCTATAAAATTCAATAGGGGTTTAATTTTTTTATGTAAAAGTTGCACTAAAGTACAAAAAAATTGTTTGATACTCACTTTGTGTGTCTGTTCCGATAAAAGCAATATTTTTCTTCAGTAAATTAATTTTTATTCGTTTATTTTGAACCTTTTTATATAATTTAATGATCATATTTTTAATAACACAGTCAAACTAGAAATTAATGTGCCCTTATATTAACCATAGTTTTAGTTGGAAAACTTTGTATGTTTTGGACAGTAACTTAATTACATTAATTTAAAGATTTAATATAATATTAGATACTTCTACCCATTGTTTTCGAAAAATATCAGGAATATTTGAAAACGCTAATCAAAATTGTTTATTGCTATTCAAATGTTTTATCCGCTCACGTGTTTTTTTAGAGATATAACTGTTCTATTATTTCCCAAATAACATTGCCATTTGCGTCATACTTTAATAATACTGTTGCTGTATAGTTTGATAAACATTTGTTAAATAATGTATGTTATATATTTCTATATTTTTTTGACACATTTGCTTCTAATTTTAGTAATTGTACAAGTTTTTAAAATGACAAACTAAAAATTAGAATTATTTTAGAAAAAAGGGTTTTATCCATAATGAATTATCTGTATAATTTTCATTTGTTTGCAAAATATTTGATAAAATAATGATATATTTATAATGAAAAGGTGATCTCCCAAAAATACTAACACTAAAAGAAATGGCGGAGTTACAAAGGAAACAGGGTAATTATACGTTTTTTTATACAATGTAGAATAATGTGTGTATATCTAAAGAATTAAACTTAATTTCAAATATATCTTAAAATATATGCATACAATATTTTGAAAATGTTTATATTTCTAAACAGAATATTCATTCATTCATTTTATATTTCTAAGCATCCATTGTTAGTCCTGACTACAATTATTGTCGCAATAATGGACAATTTGACTACCTTAAGTTTAGACGAGAAATATTAATAATTATCAAATTGCTTGTCACATATATTTCAAGATGTATTTGAAAATAAATTTAATTCATTAGAAGAACATATATTATTCTACATTGTGAAAACAGTATCATACAACAGATAATTAAAGGTTTTTTACAATCACTTAAAGTTAGCAAAACATTAATTTAATTTGCATTA